GAGAGAGAGAGAGAGAGAGAGAGAGAGAGAGAGAGAGAGAGAGAGAGAGAGAGAGAGAGAAGAACGAGGCAGAGAAGAGACGAGGGAAAGAGGCGAAAAGAGGGAGAGAGGGGGGAGAGAGGGAGAGAAGGTCGGGCTAGTAACAGTACATATATATATATGAAACTCCGACGAAACAGTTTGTCACAGCCCCTCGTTTGTTGTCTTCTTCTCTCTCTCTGCCTACGGTTTACCGGGCAGTTCTGTTTGTGACGATATATATATTATAAAGAGGTACGGCGAAGAGGATCTGCTTGTCTTCATAGTTTTCATTCAGTTGGAAGCGCCGGAGGGTGAACCTAAGAGTGTGCTGCAGTGTGACCACTGCAATTATCAAAGGGTAATGATGTGTACTTCGGCGGAAGTTGTATGGCGAAATTTAGCAATGAAATGAAATTGAGGTTGAATCCGAATGGGAAGGCAAGAGTTCAGTGGCGTGGGATTCAGATGCGAATGTACTGGACATTGGGGATGCCAACTGCAACAACAGTTTTCTTTATATGATGGGATGGGATTACTGTTGGTCTTCTCTCGTGCATTGGCGGCCTTTGGGGCTTTGCTTTTTCTCTTTGAGGGATCCAGAGTTTAGGATGAGCAGTAGCCTTATTTTGCAGATAAATAACATTTGCTACAGTAGACGGCTTCTATTAGAAGTACGACGATACAATATGACATAAGGTAGGGTCGTCTGTGCATCGAATGTGGACAACAAATGGCCGCCGTTAGTGCATCTTGTCATTTTTATGTGGATAAGTAATGCATGACCATCGTTCCACATCCTATGTGGGCAAGACGTGGCCGTTTGTGGATCTTACGTTGACAAGATGTTGCTGTTTGTGAATCACATGATATAGATGCCATGCATCTTATGTGGCACTGTAGCAAAACTGCCGAACATGGGTATAAAGATTTGCAAAGTATCTGTTATCCAATGATGATGATGATGATGATGATGATGATGATGATGATGATGATGATGGATCTGGTTGATGGACATTTCCCGCAACTGGGAGCACAGTCGTCACCTGAAGGCTTGATGAAGAAGCGGAGAGGTATAGGCGAACAGGCATCTTCTGGAGTTGTACTGCCTGCTGTATCTGCGACCCTCACCAATTTTGTATGTCTTGGCTATGTACATAGCCAAAACATCATTACCGCATCCGAATAGCAAGGGGGAACACCACCCACAGAGAGAGAGAGAGAGAGAGAGAGAGAGAGAGAGAGAGAGAGAGAGAGAGAGGTGGGGGTTGCACTGATATTTTGCTCGTTCCGTGTGTGACATTCTGAAGTGTATTTTTCTATGTAAGGTTTTTTTTTTTTTTTTTTTTTTTTATTTGTTTTTTTTTTTTTTTTTTTTTTTTTTTTGGGCTGAGGTACATTTAAATCTCCTAATTATTACTCACGGAAGGAGGGGGTGCTAAGTCCCTGTCAGGTTGGTGATCCAATTTATATGTAAGGTTTATTTCTGTGTAGGCAGGTGTAAAGTGTATATGGTTACATATACTCCATTGGAGCTTGTACTGCCTGTTGTGCATCTGTGAATCTACTATATCAGTCTATATGAGCATGTAGCACACAATTGGTTGGTTGACATGTTCACAACCAGTGCGCCTCCCTGCACACGTAGTCAAATATCATTGTGTACTATGTGTTGCAGTGTGAGCATCCAAAGATTCCAAACAGGCGCGAGTGTGTTGGGCTCTCTGCAGGTCGTGAATGCAATGCCTTTATGGTTTTTGCAGCAAATTTTGCTTGAATTGCGACAGAGAGCCCACAACGAACGAGTCTGAATGTTGACAAAATGATGATGTCGGACTTGGTTCCGAAGATTTTGGTCAGTGTTGATGGTTGTGGGGATTCTGAGGGGAAGGAGATAGAACCTCCTAATTTTTTGTCACTATCATCCGCTGGGATAAAACTGCTGTGAAGAGGCTGGGCCTATTTTTTGTGGTAGTGCATAAAAACTAAAAGGAGACAGGTAAGAGGCTCCTAAATTCCTATGATCTCTCTCTCTCTCTCTCTCTCTCTCTCTCTCTCTCTCTCTCTCTCTCTCTCTCTCTCTC